TTTTTAGCACACTAAGCTGTCTCTGACCTTAAATTGCAACTACCGGGCAGTCCACTTATTAAACGGTGAACTCCCGGTCTCATACTGATCTCAAAGAGACCTAATCATAATACCTTTCAAATTCGTTATTTGGTGATCTTTATTTACAAACATTGTTTACCGATTATCATTCGGATTTATTTCGTGAATTATCATTAATTAAATTTTATTGATTAAATCGTTATAAATTCCTTATTACGAATTTTTCGAAGGGTTTACGGGAAATTATTTTTTCCGTTTGATTAGGTGTCTACAGTCCATCAGTGGGACAGGGGATTGTATGTATCTTGCTTGATTGTTCTACCCCTGTTCCCACTCTCCCTACCCCCCCCCGTATTCTGTGATTACCGGGACTTCTCAAGTACCGCATCAGCTCAGACTGATGTCGACAGAGCAAGACACCGGGGCACTGCCACGACGCAGTGCCAGAATCGCAGTTCGTGCCCGCCCTGTAGTGCCTCCAAGAACGAAGAAACGCAGCAGACGGACAACTCCAGCAGCATCAAGTACGGCATTGACGGTACAAGACGCCACCGGAGATCATCCCACATACCTAGTCCGAGGAGCCAATGAGCCCGCGGCTGATTATCGTGGGCGGCTACTGGCATTTTCAGAAGCCGTAGCTGCCGTCGAGGTCCGGAAGGAGATAGCAGAGGCAGAACGTCAGCGGCTAGCCAATGAGGTGGCAGCCGAAGCTCAGAGAACGACTGAGACTGATGCAGCGACACGAGACAGACGGAATGCCAGCAGCACGGAGTCCTTGATTGCTTGTGAGCATCAGTGGACGACGGTACTCCAAGACATGATCTTTGTGCCTACAGAAGCGCAGGCAGACCTGACACCGGCGGAGGCAGAGAGAAGTAACCTGGCTAACTTGCTGTTAGGCATGATGAGAGGTATTATGTGGAATAATACACTGCTGCAGTCACATCTGCGCGCGGACGTAACGCAGCGACAAACATACAAGAATGATATGACTACGTTAACCACTGCTATCCGCACAGAGGCAATGCAGCAGCAGCAACAGCATCATTTGTTGAATTCCACTATCACACGCGTCAACAGCATAGAGGCTAACGCCTCAGCAGCACCAGGCTGCACGACAGACGTGACGAAGCAACTCAACGAGCGCATCGATCACGTCGTCACCATCATCGGCGACATAAGTACGTTCACTGGACCAGACTCGATCAGCAGCATGGTGGCCGCCATCAAGACGGACCTCACCAAGCTACAGACGAGACCGGAAGCCGCTACAAAGACGTTCAAGATGCCGCACTTCGACATCAGCAAGTTCGACGACTACAACAAGTCGAACGCCTTGTCATGGTGGCAACGCTTCCTCACGGAAGCATCATGCCGCATGGTCCCGGCGGACGACATGTTGAAGGCAATATATCTGTAGGTGATTGGAGGAGCGCAGGGATGGATGAACCACCTAGCGGCTACACACAAGTGCACTATCGCCGAACTCCACACGCACATTACGTGGAAGGAGTTCGAGCAGCTATGGTTCACCCGGTTCATGGTCCGCAACGTCGTGAAGGCGGCCATGAATGAGGTGTACACATGCTCTCAAGGGAACATGCCAACTCGAGACTGGACAACAAAGTGGCAAAAGATAGTGACCACAGCAGG